CATCCAACCATCCTCACATCTCCTTCAGGGTCTCAGGCTCAAAATGCCTAACTTCCCCTAACTGCTCAACAAACTGTTTTGGTCTCTTTAGCTAAATTAGCCTCCATAACAGCTGCACATGGGTCAGTGGACACTGATACAGGCAGCTAAAGCTAGCTGTGCTTCACCTGTTTATTAAGAACTGGTTAGCAGTGTTGGACCAAGTTGTTTGCTTTGCACTTACTTTCACCAACAGAAGCTCTGGGTATTTGTCTTCTGACAGAGTGCTAGCATGTGCACATTAGTAATGTTAGTAATTAGATGGTGTTGGAGTCTGTGTGTATGGATGGAGCTAGCTTGTTAGCATTAGCCAATAACTGAGCACTCCACCCTAATATAAAAAAAAAAACAACAACAACAACAACAACAACCAAAAAACCCCCCCCAAAAAATAGCAGCAAAGAAATGCTTTAAGCTTCAAACTGTGCAGTCATAAACTAATGGATGACATCATGGTGACCACATCCTTCTTTTATACACAGTCCAGAGTTGAGTCAGTCTGGGCATGCCTGCATCTTTGCTGCGCCCATTCAACTCAAAGAGCTTCGACCAACAGTGGAGATCATGTGACGTCTAACCCTGACCAACAGACACCGAGGACTCGCCCCAGGTTTGACTTTAACGATCCAAAGGAAGAATGATTTTTACCGCCATCATTGCTCCGACAGCGTGGAGCTGGTGATGATGCTCCACGTCAGCAACACAATGCAGGGCGAAGTGAGCTGTTCATAGCAGAGCTGCTGCGACAGTGACAGCACGGAGCTCTATGGTCAAATTATATTTGGTGATTGATTGATTTTGTGTTGCAGATACGGTGTCCGTGTCTGTCTGCGCTCACGCCCAGATCAGTGGGCGGGTTTATCACACATACACCAGTGAAAACAAGTTCATTCATTAGATGCTTAGCGGACCACGAGAGGTAACGTCAACCTTGTCCAACGAAAGCTGTTTTGATTCATAAAAATTAAATAAAAAGATATCTGCCATCACTAATTATGCGATACTATAATTAATATGAATGCGCACAGTTATAAACCAGACATTAATTTTCCATGAACTAAATGTTTAATAAGGACTGATAAACATTTATTCAGTCAATCAACAATCACCAGTGAATGAATCCTAGTAGGGAGCACAGTGGCATCACTGGTGCTCAGAGCAGGCCTGCAGAATAGCAACACTGCCATCCTGTGGGCAGAGCGTGGACAGGCGTTTCCCGCAGAGACTGCACGCAGACAGCAGGATGTGGCACGGTCGCTAAAATAGGAGTTATTCTCTGTCTGCTGCATTTATCTTACAGGGCGAGCACAATTCCACCGAGTCTGTTTCTCTTTCTGTATAATGAAGGACTGTGATGGTGCTTTATCACTCGAACATCCTCATCCCCAACATTAGCTCAGATATAATGAGGGTTACTCAGAGGACGGGGGCCTCTCTGCAGAGTGATAAAAGACCCCAGAGTGTGCCGGTGACATAGCATCGGTCATTAGCCGGGCTCACTTTGCCCTTTCATGTATTTCTAAATAAGTGCCTTCCTGTGGGTTTAACAGACCACCTAATCTGCCTACTTAGAGGCGCAGGCGAAGAGTGGGAATCCAGAGAGGTGAGTGTCAGGCAGGTAAATGTGCTTATCAGAGCTGTGACATGTTTAGCTTCTCTGGTGGAAATGCTGCCACAGGCTTTTACACCTAGTAGGTTTCACTGGAGATGGAAATTATGGAGGATTAGTGTGTTTATGTTAAGTATGGAGGAAATGTGGACCCATTATCATTACAGGCTGAAACT